GATGCATTAGAATGGTGGAAGACACGTACATCAAAATATCCACTAATTGTTGCTCTGGCATTGAAATATTTAGGGATACCAGCAACGTCAGTAAGTTCTGAAAGATGTTTCTCAACCGCTGGAAACATAGAGACGGCCAAGAGAAGTTGTTTGGTGCCCGAGACTGTAAATATGCTAATTTTTCTTTACCAAAACAAATAATTGTTATAAATTCCTAGATCGTGAGTGATTACTTTATTATTTATTTTCTAATTTTTCGTACTATATACACCTACTGCTTGTACATTAATTTGATATTATTATTGTTATTTTTTTAATTAATTGATTAATTTATAAATATATAGGTACATGTTTATTATTATTTTGTTATTTAATTATTATACATGAAAGTGATTACGAAATATACTAAGAGGTAGTGAACACTATACATTATGATATATGTACTGTCATATTGAGTTCAGAAAGTGAATCAATCTTAAGTCAGTACTGCAAAATAGTGAAATACGATTTTACTTAAATATCTAAGTAAAATATACTCATATATATGAGTATTTAAGGTCACAAGTATTTAAATACCCGATATACACGGATATTTTACTACATGGGCTTTAATCCCGCCATAGGTAAAAACACGGGTACCCGTGTAGTTCATTACACGTGTAATCGCGACCTCTATAGATAATTCATTTTTGTTTGTTATAATGGGTTTTAAGACCTTATCAATATAGGATTAGGCTAAAATAATTATAATTTTTCGAAAAGGTGTTAATAATAAATCTATATATAAAGTTCGGGTTCGAGCTATATACTTATATTTTACATCATTAGAATGTTTAGTATGAAAAAATTGAATGGCTTAGTACAAATAAAAGTTCAGTGTTCAATTGTAGAAATTTACTGTGAATTATATTAACTTAAAGTAAAATTTATTATGTATACATTGCGAAAGTAAAAACTCAATTAAAAATGTGATAAAGCTTTTATTTTATAATATAAAATATTATAATACTTAAGATTATTATACTATATTAATATACATGGCTAGGCATAAACGAGTTTATAAGTTAAAGTTCAGTTAAATTTTTTTATTTAACGTAGTTATTTAGATTTTACGTTAACTTTATTTATACTTCATTTATTTAACAACTAATTTGCCTATATACCTCTTCAAAATAAAATTCTAAATACTTTAAAATATTATTTTTATAAAAATTAGTTTAAAAACATTTGTCTTATTCAATAAATAATATGTAACATCCATTTCACGGTTTCTTGTTGCTTAATGTCAATTTTATTGATAAACAACTTCTGCGAAGAAAATCGTGAGTCTCGGACAAGTCACCAGCTAAATTTTGTCATGCGGCATTCTAGTACATAAATTCTATTAATAGATATCTGTCGACATTATCGTCTACCGGAAACATTTAATAAATAACCGGTCTACTATTATATATTTTAATGTCTTTGATAACCATTCTCTTTACATAGTCACTGTTAGGGTGTCGCTTATTTTTAAAATTTTAGTTATTCTTCAAGTTCACTTCCCAAATTTGTGTGTATACATATAAAAAGTTGCTACAAAAATTTTCAGGCCTATCAGAAAAATTAAGGTTGAAAATCGGCCAAAAGAAGTAGTTTTTTAGTTTTTAGCGATTAACTCGTAAATTAGCACTCTCACAAAAAATATTATTGAAACCATATTGTAGATCTAATTGTTTTATATAAATTAAGTTCTAATCGTTTTTCTTCTAAACCATTTAATTCAACAAAGAAATATAAAAAAATGTAATATTAGGTAAAATTATTAAAATTGGGATATTTACGAATATGCCATTGTATCAGACGAACCATATGCGATATGAACAAATACCTAAATTTTAATAAACATTTTTCTTTGTTTAAAAAAAGGACATTAAAAATACTGAATTTAGTTCTGTAAAAATATTTATTTCGAGTTTATACAAGATGCTTTACATGTACACTTTTAAAATATCAGTAAAAGGTAAATAAATAATAACAAATAACTTGTTATATTTTATTTTTAATTAAAAAGTATATTAATATATTAGTTTATACTAATATAATATAATTCTAAAGTTTCTTATACTTTTTTTCCGAGACAAGTTTAGGCAATATTTGTATACCAAATAGCTTAAAAAATTCATACATTTACAGATTTATAGCTTTTAGATAAATTCTGATACGAATTAACTGATAACAACTATAAATGTAAATTTTAATTGCTTTTAGTTAAAAGTGTACTTCTAAATTTATTATGTTAAAACGGTAGTACAATGGGGTCGTGCCATAGTTTGCTCAAGTATATATGAAATCACATCTAAACTTATTTTTGCGCATATTTCAAATATACAATTAGTTTTTTTCTATCATCTAATTTTTGAGATTATTACTAATTTGTCAAAAACGAGTAAATACTTAAAAAAAATTGGTCCAATGAGAACTGAAAAAATGTATGGATAGATATAAAAAAAACGCATAGCATCACAAAACCAATACCTTTATAGTTCAGCACAGAAACTAAAAAAACAATCAAAAGTTAATTAAGTGTATTCTAAAAATTTATTATAATTATAAAAATCAATTGTTAAATTCAGATGAAACAGGATCATTTTTTTTAGAAATGATTTATGTAGAAAACAGTTAACCAAAAAATTGGTATTATTATAGAATGGTAGTAGAACACACAAATAAAGATAAAAAATTAATAAATAAAAAAGTAAAATTATTCAACTTTGTTGTTGAAACATTTTATCCATATGAAACCTAATTCAACAATATATACTTCAAACACATTAGATATTAATTGTTTATATAAAGAAAATTAATTAAGCAATTTTTTATTTGATAAGGGGAAATCATTTTCAAGTTTTGATGGTAATATCTTAAACTAAATAGAAGTTGTGAATATTTCACGTATTGTTTAAAAAAATTGATCAAATGACAGACCTCCAAAAAAAAAACCATATAGTAAAATATTTTAATACGAATAAGAAATATTTTTTCACTATAGGAGACTACAGTGTTAGTTTTTTTGATATTCATTGAGGTTATACAATTTGAATGAGATAAAAATTAAACGAACTATGAATTTTATTTCTACCTCAAAAAGAATTAAGAAAAAAATTCTTTCGACGGGTCCGACTCAGCCACCACCATGCACTACTTAATTTTGTTGCTAAAAATGACAGTATAAACTAGTACATAAATTCAAAGCAGCTTTTTTTTTAACTTTGAGACAAAATAATCAAAATTAGTTAAAATTTATAATGTAAGTTAGATTCAGGATTCAGGACAGACTTATGTATATTACATATGATTTATATATCCTGACCATCTAAAATATAACTTTACTTTGCCGTTGACATAAAACAATAGTCTAACTTTATTATATAATCTATCTTTTGTAACTAAGGTACACAATTGCCTGTATCTCCTTCAGGTAATTAAAGCTCATTTAAGTAGATAGGGACAATATTTGGACAGACGTCGGGTAGCTTCCGATTCTTGGTTCTGACCAAGTTCCTCGAGTATTAAATAAGCCCCTAACAGTGTGGAATGGCGAAGGAGATATAATAAATTATGTGTGGAATAGATTTTCTAGTTGTGTTAAAAAGAATCCAAAGGAGATAGTTAGTGAAAGTAGGAGTAGAATACCAGAAAATAAGGAAACTTAATGGTGGGATGAGGACGTTCAAAAAATCGTAGAGAGTAAGAAAAAGCAATTAAAGTATGGTAGAGGAGCAAAAGGAGAGAAGATTAGATGGAGTATAATAGCTTGTGCAAAGAAGCTATTATACTGTGTGCATTAAGTAAGGCGAAGTTTAAGAGGTATGATGAGTTGTATGATAGGCTAGAAACATAGGAAAGTGAAAAAGAAGTCTATAGACTTTCAAAAATAAGAGAAAAAACGTCTAAAGATTATCACTATGTAAGGTGAATAAAAAGTGTTGATAAGAGGGTGATATCAAGTAATGATGATATGAAAAAAACCTGGAAAGAGTATTTTGAAAAATGAATGAATGATGAGTATCCAAGGGAGACATTAGAGGATATTTCATGGAATGAGAGACTGGTATATGTAAAAAACGTATGGGAGGCTATGACATCAATGAAAAATAATAAAGCACTAGGACCAGATGAAGTGCCAGTAGAAGTATGGAAAATATTAGGCGGTATTAGCATAATGTGGTTGAAGGATGTTTTTAATAAAATCTTATTAGAAGGGAAAACGCCAAAAGACTGGAGGAATAGTATTGTGGTGTCGATATTTAAAGGTAAATGAGACATACAGGAGTGTGGTATAAAGCGTATTAGTCATAGTATGAAAATTTGGGAAAAGATAATAGATAAGAGAATAAGAAATGAGACATCGGTATCTAAAAACCAGTTTGGATTTATGCCTGGTAAGTCAACAATGGAGCCAGTATTTTGTGCGAGTCATCTAATAGAAAAGTTTAGGGAAAAGAAGAAAAAGCAGTGTATGGTATTTATAGATTTAGAGACAACGTATGATAGAGGTGGTATTGACGACAATGCACGATACAGGATTAAGTGAGGGTGGTTAAAGCGGAGAAAAACGTTTGGTGTATTATGCGATACAAGAATTCCAATGAGGCTGAAGGTAAGTTCTTTAAGACTGTAGTGAGACCAGCTATGTTGTATGGTTCTGAGTGTTGGACGGTTGACAAGAAAGTAGAGCAGAAATGAGAATGCTTAGATGGATGAGTGGAGTGACTAAAGAAGATTGGGTACGGAAAGAAAATATAAGAGAAAGTTACTATTTTGAACTCCCCCACCGTGGTCAGAAATAAAAAAAAATTATATTAAATAAAAGGTAAATACTTAAGGTGTTAATATAAAAAAAATGATTTTGATTTGTTAATTTTTCAATAAGTTGTGGCACTTAAAAAAAAAAAAAGTGAAATATATGTCGAAATTTACGTTATGCATCATTTACAAGGACAACATTTTTTAATTTTTGAAGGTAATGTCTTCAACTAGATACGATTTGTGATCTTTTGACATATCATTGAGAAAAATCGGTCCAGTGAGAGCTAAGAAAAAGTAGTGACAGACATAAAAAAAAAAATAAGAAGAAAATAAACACATCATTGTAAAATGTATATTTTCTCAGCTTCAAATCGAAGCTTAAAGTAAGTACACAAACAGTTCTAATTAATTATAGTTCAAGTAATTAAAATGTTGTTTCAAATTCTCATATCATGTATGTATTATTTTTGTAATTGATAGAGGAATTGTACAATATTATTGTAAAATATTTACACAATAATGTGAAGTTGTACAACAGTCATCACTGTCGTGTCCTTTGCCAATCCGAGAGCTTGATTTTTTTTCAATTATTAGTGCAATTATATTATTATTTTTTTTTGGATATACTTTAAAATTTGAATACTTAGTATATCATTTATTATTCCTTAGAATTATCAAAATGGATGCTTATGATAAATTGGAAAAAATTGGTGAAGGCACATATGGAGTAGTATATAAATGTATGGAACGATCATCAAAAGAGATAGTTGCAGTTAAAAAAATACGAATGGAAATGGAAGACGAAGGAATTCCAGCTACAGCTATAAGAGAAATAAGTATATTAAAAGAACTCAACCATCCAAACATTGTGAAGTAATGATTTTTAATTATCAATGTATTCAACACTTTACCATTTTTCGCTTCTTATAGTTTGCGAGAAATTCTTATGGATGAATCACGGCTATATTTAGTTTTTGAATTTGTTCCAATGGATTTGAAAAAATTTATTGATTCTAGACCAAAAAAGCAATTAGATGAAGGTACAAGTAAATCTTTTACTTATCAGGTAAAACAATAATACTTATATTATAACTTATCAGTAATTATTTTTCGTTATAACATTTACATAATGAAAAAGAAACATTTGTTTTTATTTTAAACTTAATTGTTAATTTTAGTTATTAATTGCTATATACTATTGCCATGTACGGAGAATACTTCATCGAGATCTAAAACCTCAAAATATTTTGATTGACACTAAACATAATATTCTTAAAATAGCTGATTTTGGATTAGGCCGTACTTTTGGATTGCCAATTCGTGTTTACACTCATGAGGTATATAAAATCTAATTGATATTTTTTATATTATGAATAATTAAGAAGGAAATAAATAATTTTTTTCTTATTTAGGTTGTAACTTTGTGGTATAGAGCGCCAGAAGTGTTATTAAATACACAACGATATGGTTGTCCTGTTGATATTTGGTCAATAGGGTGTATATTTGCTGAAATGGCACATGGTAGACCTTTATTTCAAGGAGATTCAGAAATTGATCAATTATTTCGTATTTTCAGGTAGATTCCATTAAGTATAGTTAAGTTAACTATATATCAAATAAGTTATTTAATCAAATTCTTAATTAAAAACACAATATATAAATTCTGTATTTCCATTTTATACGCTTTTTAATGTCCACATGATTTCCTCAATCATTTCAATAGTAAAAATATCTTAATAAAATAATTGGTATATAAGTAAAAGAACACAAATATTACACATTAAATTTTTAGTAGAATAACCTTTTTTATGTTTATCATTTTAAGAAGAAAAATAACAAGAATTGTAATTTTGTTGTAATCTAAAGAGATTTTTTTTTTTTTTTTCATATTTGAAATTAAAAAATGTATATATTTTAAATGAGAAATTTGATACTTAGTAAATCATATATATAGGTGTTTTTTTATATATTTAACTAGCTTACAGAATTAAAAATGATCTAATTAAGAAAGTGACTGGTCGAAAACAATTTCTGAAATAATATTTCTGATGTTATTAACATTTTTAAATATAGAGTGTAGGCAAAATGCACCAGTTTTGTGTAATGATAAATATAACATAACCCATACTTCACTCTACTCTATATTATAAAATAATTATAACTTTTCAAGTAATGGTCAAAAGTTGTTTTTCACCAGTCAATTCCTAATAAAATCATTTTTTATTTATTAACTTGTTAAATATGTATATTGCTATTTAAAAAATAAAGTCTATGCCCTTATAATGTATGAATGATAAATTTAAAAAAAAATACTTAATAATTAATAATTAATAAATAGAGCTAAATAATACCAAAAAAGAATCTCTTTACATAAATATTATTGCACAAGAAATGATGTGGCTAATATTAAAAAATTATCGTAGTGGACTAAATCTAAAAAATGTGAATTACTATAAAGTTATTTAAAGACATTGTATGATTTTACTAATATTAACTGATATTTATGAATTGGTACTTATATAATATTTCTATCTTGTTCAAAAAGTATATACTGTTTCTAGGATATTAACAACTCCAAGTGAAGAAACATGGCCAGGAGTTTCAGACCTTAAAGATTACAAACCAACATTTCCTAAATGGAGTGGCAATCTTTTAAAAGATTCAGTGTCTAGTTTGAACAATGACGGATTAGATTTACTAGAAGTATATTATGCTAAATAACATATTAATTTTAATATTTAATATACTATATTAATTTTTAGCAAACGTTAATTTATGATCCAAGTAAGCGAATTAATGCCAGAGATGCACTACAACATCGTTACTTTAAAGACCTTAACAAAAGCATTTTGCCAGCTCTTCCAGAAATTAAATTTTCTTCACTACAATAATATTAATCAATATCACATTTATGGTATTAACATATTGATTAATAACACTTATTTTTTAATGTTTGTAAAATTATTCATTTTGAATAAAATAAGGAAATGAATACATATATTGTAAAATTATGAGTTATTAACATATCATTTTGAATTTTTGTTATTATTATAATAAAGTAAATCTCTTATTTTATTTTATTAATTTAATATTAAAAGCTCAAAAAAAGGTAAACGATTGTATAGAATAGGGTGTAGGGGAGACTGGGGCAGATTTGAATGAAAATTACATTTTGATTTTTAATTTTTTTTGCATTTAATTTGAGTATAATGGTCTTGTTAGATTCTCATAATATTTTAACATCACACTGTAACTATTAAAAATCTATATCATTGAATAATAGTTTATTATAAAATGTTAAACACAAGTTACTTTTTATTCAAATGTGCCCCATGGTAGGGGTACATTTAGGGGTAAAATTCACACACATAAAATTACCAATAAGTAAAAGTATATTATTTTAATACATATCTCTAGAAAAGTTAAAAGTAGGTAGTTACCTAATCTGTAAACAGAAAATTAACAAATATTTAATATCTTATAGATAAATAAATCCAACATTTACTGTCCTTTTTTAACATAATTTCTTACCATTTTCTTAAAATAAAATACACTTTATGAGATCATTATAATGTTAAAAACCAATTCAAATCTACCCCACTCTGGAATATTCAATTCATGTACCTCATAGTACATGTTTGAACAATTTTATCAAAAATTGTACAATGAAATACTACATCACATTCCATAATATCCCATTTAAAAGAGTATAATATTTTAATTTAGTATGTTTTGTTAAATACTTACTGAATGTTTTTGTTTTTTCTCAAACTCTTATTAAGATGGTAATAACGGTAACAAAAAATTCAAAAACACAGTTTTATTTGTAATAATGAAAATATTAATAACAGATAGCTGATGAACATATTATATATTGGGTACAGTATGACTAACCTTCTGTATTTTACTTGAATTAACTTTATCACTACAGTTAATTGTATTTAATCAATTCAAAACTACCCTACATTCAAATGTGCCCCAATGTCCTCTATTACTCATTATTATGTTATTTTTTTTCCCAAACAATGAATTATACAAATCTTGTTAAGCTTCATCTGCCTATGGTGATTGATCATTAGGTGCCATGAAATTTATTAATTTAGTGTGAACTGTATATCTAAGTTTTTTGTTTTTTCTAGAACTAGTATCAATTTTACGTTTCATTTTACTTCTCAGTTTATGTAATTGTAACCATTGCCTGAAATTGAAAAAAAATTAGTTAATATATAATTATTATATATAAAATTCAAATAAATTTGACTTTCCAATTTATGTTATATACAATAATTATAAGTAAACAATATTAATATTATAAATAGTATACACTCAATACACAGATAATATACTCACATAGAACAAACCAATGAAAATGAGACGTTGAATAAATTAGTTAAATTAAATATATTATTAGTAAATTGAGTCAAACTATTATTAATTTCCATCACCTTAGCTAAATACTATGTTGAAATATAAATCTTAAATCTTAGTTTTAGTTTAGGTTGTTATAGAGGCAGGCAAGAACTACCCATGCACTCAGACCTATAGGTCCATTGTGTGCACCTCCTATCAAATAATATTAATACAGTTTCTTTGCATAAATGTATCCTCCAGATTTGTTGCTATTGTTGAATACCTAAAACTATATATAGGATGTCTTACTAACCGAGCATGAATATATTTAAAGAGTTCTCTCTCAAGCAAAATTAATTATCACTTAGGGTTTTAGGTTTTTGATATCTTATTTTTTTGGATAAGATTTTAACAAATGTTTAGATCAATCTTAAATTTTACAAAATATTTTGTCATTATAAAATTTAATATTTCAATACTATTTAAGACTGTTGTAATAAAAATACCAGTGCATGTCATGAGTACACACAGATGAAGTGAAACTACTTTCAGAGTAATTTAATTAATAGAATATTAGATTTGTATTAATTAAATAAATAATATAAAATAAAAAAAAACACCTAAAAATTTTATTTTTAATTGAAATTAATTATTTTTATTTTTTAATTTTATTATTCTATTTCCCACATCATCTACGCTTACATCAGCTGTCATCATATCACATTCAATAGCATCCTTGGAGGGTTTGCTATTTAATCTGATATGAGATGTGATATGAGGGATGATCCCTCCATCTCTTTTTTGGTCTTCCTCTACCTCTTCTTCATTCAACATTCATTTCTATAACTGTTCTTACAGTTTCTGATTCTTCTCTTTTCATAACATGACCAAACCATCTAAGTCTATTTTCTCTCATCTTATCCACAATTGACGCTACACCTATACTCTCTCTTATATGCTCGTTCCTTAACTTATCTTCTCTAGTCATTCCACTCATCTATCTAAGCATTCTCATCTCTGCTACACTCAGTTACTGCTCTACTTTCTTATCAACCGCTACAGTCACTACAGTCTTGTAGAATTTACCTTTCAGCCTCATTGTAATTCTTTTATATAAGACGCCAGACGCTTCTCTCCACTTTAACCACCGGCACTTAATCTTGTGTCTTACATTCTCGTCAATACCACCGCTATTTTGCACAACTGACTCTAAACACTTAAAACTTTCAACCTCTCCAATCACGTCCTTGCCTATAGTCACTTATCTCCTCATTTCACCTACTTCGTGTATCCTTTGTCAAACTCGTACATTATATACTCTGACTTCTACTTATTCTCTAACTCTTTTCTTCAAGAGCTGATCTCCACACCTCTAGCCTTCGATTAATTTCCTTCCTATTTTCTCCTATTAACACTATATCGTTAGCAAACAACATGCACCACGGCAGCTCTCATTGTATTTTTCTAGTCATTTTATCCATCACTACAGAGAATAAGTAAGGGCTTAAAGCAGAACTTTGGCGCACTCCTACTCTTACCCGAAAACCTTTTGTTACTCCTCTTACGCTTTTTACCCTGGTACAAGTACCATTATACATATCTTCTATTATATTAATGTACTTTTTCGGAACTCCTTTTCTCATTAATGTCCATTTTAAAAACTCTCTCGCTACTCTATCATACGTTGTCTCTAAATCTATAAATACCATGCACTGCTTTTTCTTCTTTTCCCTAAACTTTTCTATTAGATGACTCGCACAAAATACTGGCTCCATTGTTGACTTACCAGGCATAAATCCAAACTGGTTTTTAGATACCGATGTCTCATTTCTTATTCTCTTATCTATTATCTTTTCCCAAATTTTCATACTATGACTAATACGCTTTATACCACACTCCTGTATGTCTCATTTACCTTTAAATATCGACACCACAATACTATTCCTCCAGTCTTTTGGCGTTTTCCCTTCTAATATGATTTTATTAAAAACATCCTTCAACCACATTATGCTAATACCGCCTAATATTTTCCATACTTCTACTGGCACTTCATCTGGTCCTAGTGCTTTATTATTTTTCATTGATGTCATAGCCTCCCATACGTTTTTTACATATACCAGTCTCTCATTCCATGAAATATCCTCTAATGTCTCCCTTGGATACTCATCATTCAGTAATACTTATATTTAGTATATTGATATATTTTAAAGCTTTATATTATTGCACATATATTGTTATTATAAATATAAATGTGTACCTGTAGCATTATATATTGCAAATAATACCGTTTTGGATTGTGTCTGTATTTGAAATGGCCTCTAGCGGTGTTAACGTAAAACTGATTTTTTATATTATCTATGGTAAAGTTCTTCATGTAATAATAAGAAATTTTGATTAATTTTTTCACTGTAATCTTGGCGCTCCTAGTAGTAGAAAATAGTAACATATGTTTGTTAACAAAGTTATTATAGCATTTTTAAATTGATAAGAAATTGCTCACTTCACCAAAGTTTTACGTCTTACAATCATTTTTTTAAAATGAGTAAAGTGTATAGTGATATTAATAATTAAAATAATAGGTATGTATTGATTGATTTAATATTATAATGTTTACTCAATTAATAAGTGTAAATTTCTGTTTTAATTTATATATCTAAAACTTTTGTTCAAATAAAAATTGCAACTACAAGTAAAATTTTTGTCTTTATTTGATAAAATTGTAGCGTTTATTCACTTTATGTTGTATTTTTAAATTATGATTTTAGGTAAAAAATTCAAATAAAAATAATAATATGCCATCAGCTGTATCATCAAAAAAAATTTTTCAATTTAAAATCATATTAAAATATACGCAACCAAAGATCTGGAGACGAATTGAAGTCCCGGAAGAATTTACTTTTTGGGAGTTACATTCAGCTATTCAAGATTGTATGGGCTGGTCAGGTATGCATCCACATAACTTCAAAGCTTTAAATCCTAGAACTGGCAGAAAGGATGTTATTGGTAAAGAAAATGAAGACTTGGATATTATTTGTGAAAAAAATACCAAAATTGCCGATTATTTTCTTTCTCCTCAAGATAAAGCCAGTTATTTATATGATTTTGGTGATAAATGGGATCATAGAATTCTATTAGAAAGTATTGAACCTGCAATTATTGGTAGAGAATATCCTCAGTGTATTGCTGGTAAGCAAGCATGTCCACCAGATGACTGTGGTGGTGTATGGGGATATCAAGAGCTTTTAGAAATTAGAGCAAATCCAAATCACGAAGATTATGAAGAGCGTATGGAATGGTTGGGTGAAGAATTTGATCCTGATGAGTTTGATCCTAAATCTGTAGAATTTGATCATCCAGATAATGCATGGGAATTTGGTATATAGTTTATATCCATATCATGAGTTAATTATTTTTTTCTTTTGAGACTGAATCTTAAGTAAAAGTCATGTTTTAAATTTTAAGTTTAGAAATTAATCCCGAAAGTTACTACTTGTTACAAATTTTATTTTATTCCATTCAAAATCTTTCCAAAGAGAATAATTTATAAATGCATAAGTGGAAGTATTTTATGTATAGAACTTTTTTGTGTTTTTAACAATTAAATTCCCTTAATGTAAACAGTATGCTAACTTGTTTAAAAAAAAAAAATTAAGCTATTATATACTATTAATTGGTTATTTTAAAATTTAAAAAAAAAACTTATCATTTTTAATATTTATTATTGAATTAAATTTTAGAAGCAGTATTATTTAGATTTTCAATTAATAATATTTTATAAAACAGGAGACACTTAGTTATTTAAAGTATATATTTGGCTAATTTTTTTCCTTAAAAATTATCACTTTGTAAAAAATTGTACAAAGCTTATACAACATTTTTATATTTGTTTTATTTAATAAAACAAATATAAAAATGTTCATTCTATTGACATTGATAGTATTAATATGAGCAACAAATACACACTCAGTATTTGTCTAAAGAGTATTTACATATTTATTTTTACTCCTCCAAAAAAAATATATATATACTTTTATCAAATATGGTTCTATCTTCCTTGGTGACACTGTAGCAAGTAGAATGCAAATTAAATGAATTAAATAAGCATAAATGCTTACAAATGTAAAATGATTCCAAATTTTATTTCTGATAAAATAAATTATAAACTAAATAAACATACAATATATCTGTTTATATAAATATAAAATAAATAATTTTAAATTAGACAAGATTATTTTGTTTTAACTTAAAACATAAATTTTAGATCAAACTAATAGACATTGACCAATTGTAGGCATAATGAGAATTATAGTTACAAAAACTTTTAAACAATTAAAGTATTTTTTTCCTTGTAAATAAAGAGTTATTGAAGAAATCTCATCTTCTTTGTTATTTTGATTAGATATCTTACATTGAGATTTTCTTAGTAAATCATAAACAACGATTTTCATTCTACTATCTTTTAACCAAGGATATCCAATAATACGATGAAAATTTAATCTATCGTATGGATCAATGACAAAGAGTTTCTGTATTAGATCCAAAGCTTTAGCAGATGGAAGCGTGTGATGATTTTTTAAAAGATAATGTTAGTATTTTTTCAAAGAGGTCTGGACCAATGAAAAGTTTTGATGTAGTTAAACTGAAATAATTAAAACATAATATTTTAAATTATTTATACTAAACAGTTTTGCAGCAACATAATTAAAAAAGAATCAATATATTTTAGCTTCGATGCGAAGCTGAGAAGGTATTGGTTTTACTAAGATGTGTTTTTTTTTTTTTTTTTGTGTCTGTTACCACTTTTTCTCAGCTCTCACCGAACCGATTTCTTTCAATGATACGTCAAAAGATCACAAATCGTATCTAGTCGAAGACATTACCCTTAAAAATTGAAAAAAATTCCCTCGTTCCCCGTAAAAGGGGGAAACCTCCAAAAAAATTACAAATTTAAAAATCGCTAATTTTCGAAATTTTTTCAATTTTTTTTACTTAAAAGTGCCATAACTTTTTCAAAAATAAACATATCAATATAATTCTTTTTTATATAGATGCATAATATCATTACCTTTCATTTGGTATATTTTTTTCATAAATTTAACCCTTAACCTGCCCACAAGGGGGGATTTAAAATGACAACTTTTTCACAAAAAATTAATTTTTTTAACTTAAATTTTGAAAATGTTCCGGAAGGTCTGACACTTTTATATATATCTTAAATTAAAGCTAATGTAATATGCTTTATCATGAAAAAAAAAAATTTCGGACTTTATCTTATCTTCATGGTGAAAATGGCTACCGAATGCTATTTTTGTGTGAAAATTTTCGATTTTGTATTTTCCATTTTTAACTTTATTATGCTATAACTTTTTGAAAAATGTATGAATCATTACAATTTTTTTATGAGAAGTAGTATTTATATAGATCTTTCATTCGACATACTGTTTTTTTAAATCGGACCATTTCCCTAAATACAGGGGGGATTCAAAACATAAAAATGCATATAGAAAGTAGAACTTTTTCAACGTAACTTTTGAAAGTGTTCCGGAAGGTCTGACACTTTTATATATATCTTAAATTAAAGCTAATGTAATATACTTTATAATGGTAAAAAAAAATTTCGGACTTTATTTTATCTTCATGGTGAAAACAGACATTAAACTTAATAAAAAAAATACGATTTTTGTAAAAAAATTCTTTTTTATATTTTTAACTTTATAATGCTATAACTTCTCGAAAGATGTATGGATCAATATAATTCTTTTTTTTGTAGATGCATGATGTCTTTACCTATCATTTGGTATATTTTTTTTATAAATCTGACTTTTTACCTGCCTACAGGGGGGGATTCAAAATGACAACTTTTTCACAAAAAATTGACTTTTTCAACTTAAATTTTGAAAGTGTTCCGGAAAGTCTGACACTTTTATATATATCTTAAATTAAAGCTAATGTAATATACTTTATCATGGAAAAAAAAAATTTCGGACTTTATTTTATCTTCAAGGTGAAAATGGCTACCAAATGCTATTATTGTGTGAAAATTCTCAATTTTATTTTTTACATTTTTAACATTATAATGCTATAACTTATTGAAAAGTGTATTGATCAATATAATTTTTTTATGGGAAATACTATTTTCTAATAATCTCTTTTTTATTCTACATACTTTGTCTTAATCAGGATATTAATAAGGAACTAGCAGTTTATGAAGCTTTTGGAATAATCCACCAATTTTTTAAAATTAAACACTATCTAAAGATTTGCATCGAAGCGTTTTTTTTTGATAGTGATTTTAATCACTGTCAGATATCATTATACTTGATCCAACTATGCCACGTCACCACTGTGCCGCGACCCCCCTGTGCTGGGTTTTTTTTGTATAAGCACTACAAATTCTCTAAAAACTGTTATATTTTTAATTTAATACAAAAAATGTTTTAATATTTTACTTTTTATATATTAAATACCTTACACATTATATTTTTATATACAATAACATGATTACCAAAGGATGATGGCCTGTCTTTGAAAGTGTATTATAAATCATGTTTAAGTCTTGGTGCAATATTTATATCAATGACCCTATATGTAAAATAAAGGAACAAAACTATTAGGCACTATTGATTTACATGTCCATAAGCTGATTATACAGTGTGAGACTGAGATATCTATGGATTATATGTCAGTATATTTATGAGGTAAAATTAAAGTTACAACTATAAATCTAGGGTCCTAGGTTAAAATCGTGTACCAAACAAATTCTTACTTTTAGGAGAGCAAAGTTAAATTTTCATTCGAGCTAATGAAAAACCATTATTTCTCTTTAAAGCAATATATCTTTCAATATAATTGATGCTACATAATTTTCACACTAAAAAATATTTGATACATAAGGGCAAAATAGTTGAAAAATCCTAATTTTGGCCAATACATACCTTTAATTCTAGACACTTGAAGTATAATATACTAACACTGTAGATAATAAAGATGATATATAAGAGAGCTAGATAAAATTTTTAAAACAAAACTAATAATGATAATAAACTGATAATGAAATTACTAGAAATATTCCTGATCTACAACAAAAAAGGGCAATGCATCAACTTACAAGAGACATTTAGAAAGTTAAGTCACATCGTTTGCAAACAGTAAAACTGCAAATGATTCCATAAATTTATAGGATGTTTTTGAATACTACAATTGTTTTTTGTAAAATATTGGTTAGAAAAGTTGAGTTTATTTAATTGTAGTGCTCTAGTTATACTTACACTTGTTACATTATTATTCAACCAACTTTAATATGATATATATATGTCACTTCTTTACGGTAGATTGGAATGTGGTACTTAAATTGAAGGGATGAAAAATATCCTATTTTTACTACATATTATAGGAGAGTTTTTTGAATCAAACAATATATTCTTTACCAAAAATTAAAAATTTTCCATAGTTAGCAAAAAAAATGAGTGTCTTATCCTTAATTAATCACTCTGTATACATGGTGATCAGTTTATCATAAACCACTCGATTACTTGCAATATAAATAAAATATTAAAAA